TTTCATCATGTCTTTAAATAAATTGATTTGAGAATGTATATAAAAGAAAATATATATGCCTACTTATAATTTATATTAAGTGTGTATATACTTTATATTTTTATTAGAACTTCTTTTCTTTGATCTTTAGTTTTTCTTTTTTTTTCGTATAACGTATTAGTACAGCCAGTACAGAAACTTTAAACTCAATTGGAGGCAATCAAAAAACTCTCACGGTACCTTTACTTGTGGAATGAGGCGACAAATGGTGTTTCGTCAGGTCGACAGCTGATATAAACATGTTTTCAAATACATATCTAACGAACACAATATAGTGAAATATTATCTATTTTCGGAAAAAACTTGACAAAAATCACTATTATACTATGACGAGAAAATAAATAATAGTTTGAAAGATGTTATTGTATATAAGTTATATGTCCACAGTTGAATAGTAAAACAAATACACAAAAAATGTTTGTTTCCATAAATAATTGTGTAATTAATTTTCACCGTTTGACTTTTACAAATTATTATGGTACTTTATAAGTACAATAATAATATTTGTGTAGCTATTTATTATTCTTTTCTTTTCTTTTCCTTCTAAAGAAGACACATTATTTATTCAAACGGTATCAACTTTAATTTTTCAAACAGCAATAACCTATATGACGTAAGTTTTTAACGCACAAACAAAAATATATTGACACGAGTAGGTACGTATACGTAGGTAACTATAATAGAAAAGTATATAAATAATATTATAAATTTTGAGAAACGGTTTGTTGGTTCGCGTAATAACTTGAGGTTTAAACAGAAAGAACGAAAAGGTTTAAAATTCATTTTATTTTTTTTATTTTTTATTATAGCACTTTTGAAATCGACATTATTTTAATAGGTACGTATATACTATATACATATATAAATACAATAAATATCAATAACCGTCAGTGTTTGTGTTGTTTGAATGTCAGACATATGTATATTTTCACGAAATTTCTAAAAGTTCAAAAGCACACGTTTTTACAACACAACTAGAATTTGTTGACGAGACATTTCACTTTTAAGTCTGAGTATGGAGGAGTGTAGTGAATCACTATTCGAACTCCTCACGCCACGCGCGCTGTTCCACTACTCTCGCCTTACCCACACTTAAAAGTGGAATATCCCGTCAACGGTTTGATGGAACTTAAACATTTTCTCCACCAAATCTATTTAAAACTTCATCAATTGAAATAATTCGTTTTATAGATTGCTATTTGAAATAAAAAATTGGGGAATTGACCCCTTCTACCAAAAAAAAAAAAAGTTGATACGATTCCAAAACGTTTTTACGCAAATCATTTTTAGAAAAAAATGTTATTCATAAACGTTTTACTGTAACATGAAATTTGAAAGTCCTTGTATATCATATATATATATATAGATAGATAGATAGTTAGATAGGTATACAACTAGTGGGTTTTACAAATCTAGAGTATAATCATGCAGAACTGGAAACCGTCAAACAATTTTCTTATAATACGAGCAATAGAAAATACCAATAGCAACAATAGCAATAGTTTAGTTATTTTGGAAACGAACGGTTAAAGTTATACGAATATAAGGATAAAATGACGATTTGTTTATAAGAAGCAATCAGTTCTGTTTTTAGTAATTATTTTGATCCGTAAGCTGCAAGTAGAAACCAATAAAACCGAGTTGTTTATTCGTTCATGGTGTGTTTTGAAGCATGCTATTTTATAGTCTTGTTTCATGTTAATCTTGTCTCGAGAGGCGTTACCGTTTTTGACCAAAATGTATTCTTCTCTTTTCAGCCAATACTAATATAATATTTATGATCATGTATTATATTATTTATCTTCATTTGACAAATTTATAACGATTTATTTTACCATTTGTATAGTGTTTAGAGTGAATAAAAGTTAATAAATACAAATTAGAAATAGCGATATAATAAAAATTTTAGCGAAATTAAAAATATTGAACGAGAATGATTAAAGCAAGCTTACGTTGATGGCTATAAAAATAGTGAAATAAATCGTTACAAATTTTTGATACAAATATCGTGTTATTATAAAAATAAAATTGAATTTATACATTTTTTAACATAGTATTTTATTAATTATCTTTGGCTTGCAGTAATACCCATGTTACTTACATTTTATTACAAATTATTTTATTTTAATGCAGTTAAATATAGTATGTAATTATTTGATCATTAAAAATCATATATTTGGATTATTTTGATTAATTAGTTCATAGGATATATTTTATTATTATAATTTGAAAGAAAACTGTACGGGCCGAAAAGAGACAATAGCCTAAAAGTGAAAGGTAAATTTTAGCATAAACGGGGTCAACCCAATCAAGCACACATTTTATGAACCCTATTTTTGGACATTATTGTGTTTGAAAAAAAACAATTTTCGTCAAATACTCTTCTAGTTCAACAAAAAAAAACGTATATAAACACGGTGTATATAATATTATTTTATTATTCTAGCGTGTTAAAATATCGTTTAAAAGAGATAATGTAAACAGATTATTCATTACACCATCACAAGCTTTCGTGTGATTCTATAAAAAAAATAAAAATTTGTATATTATCAAACACAAAGTGAACGTACACACGCACACGCACTCGTACCCATACATAATAGTATAATACCTATCCATCTATTATACCTGGTCGTGGCAGTCGTTAACAATAACGTTTTTAACTGTATTTAAATCGACACACGTATATGTACGTCTGGGGAAGGGGGTCTCGAGTATACATAAAACTATACAGAGTGATTTTTTCGGAATTCAACGTGATTTTCTGTGAACATTCCCAATTTAATCGATTTCGTTTTATATTCGTTATTTTTATCATTTTATAGAATCGTTTAAAGATCGGATATTTACAAAAAAATATTTTCAATATTTAACGAGAAGGACTTTTATTGTGTACTAAATTTGTTCTCTCTGATTTGAAAAGAGAATGCAGTTTTCTATGGTATTGGCTTATAATTTTAAAAAATTGTTATGCAATTTATCATTTTCCAAAAATTAACGGACGAAAGGATAAAATTTTCAAAAACAAATTGTAAATCATGTAGGTATACTATCGTTGATCAATTTCATAATAATTGAATAAAATCGAAATCCATTGCCGTTTTCATCTCGAAATTTTCTTATATAGCTAAATAATCTACTGAATCTTGACTAATAAAAGCACTCTGTATGTTATTATTCCGGTTCGGCGGCGTTTTACACACACATTACACACACGTTTGCACACGATACGTCATCAATCGTGGTATAAAACTATATATTATTATTCCGTCGTCGAGTTGAGAGTGTACACGGGTGAAAGAAAAAAATCTACTACACGCGATTCGCGTTTTGTGAATTTCACGAGTTATCAACGGGCATTTTATGAGAAAAAAAAACAGAAATACCTACGCAAGCCGAACCCCATATTAGTCAAAATAACGTGACCGACATTTTTTGGACAAAACAAAAACTTTTTTATGTAGTAATAAAAACGCAGGAAGTTCAGCGTTTCTCAAGTAATAAAAAGGCGTTAACCATTATATTATACCATCAATACTGAGTATAGCTGCATAGGCGTAGCGTGATAGGCGATAGTTTTCTGTGGAGGGGCCATAGCCCTAACAATATTATTTACGTGGGTGTACATATCTACTCATGGGTACCATTGTGGTGTTGCCCGCTTCCTTAAAAGCATAAAGTTATTTAGAGGCGTACGCAGGTGTTTTGAGTCAAACCACCTCAAGAACTCTTGTTATTACTTATTATTTATTAATCTTATATTTAATTATAATACAAATTTTAAGTAAAATATATTACTTAAAATTACACACAAACATTTTAACTTATATATTATAATAAAGAATATATAGGTATAGAATCCACGTATTATAATATTATATAGATAAACATTTAAACCAAAAATAATACCGGTGGTTTTATCACTAGTGTTTATTTCAGGCTCTCATCTCCGGGAATAGGGAGTATCGTAAATTTCCAAGAGGGTCGGATTTAGGAGTTTTTTTCTTCTGGGGAAAAATTTAAGAAAATATGCTCAATTTTACTATGACTTTTTTGTAGCTTGTTAAAATACGGTTATTTATGCAATATTTTTTTATTTTTTGTTGTCAACAATATGACTTATAATCGTCTCACAACTTATTTCACAAATCATATCAAATGTAGTTTATATAGTCATGTTATACATTTTCAGGGGGTGTTATATACTTTTCTGTGTAGGAACACCTCCCCCCCCGACCTCTCCTCTGAAATAAAAACTGTTTATCACACCTCCTCTCCCCGTGAACCTTGAGAAAAAAAGGTTAATACTGCCGATATATTAGGAAGGAAGTTGGAAGGGAAGATAATATATAGAGTAATTTAATTTACATTTGCACGCAACAATAAACTATTGCTAATAAAAAATGATTCTGAGCAGAGTATTATTAGTTGTGTTATTTCACTTTTCGTCCAAAATTAAACAAAATATCGACAACTTTTCCCATTTCCATTAAGAAAACTAAAGAAAAATCAAAACACTGCTTCCAAAATATGTCAACTTGATAAGATATTCTACAAAAAAGTTTATATTGGCTATATAGTTTATAACTGGAGTAATATTTCCGGTAGAAAAGTTGTGAAAATACAAAACAAAAGCATTAACCTCATCATAGTTAAACCAATACATTTTTTGTTTTGTTCAGAATTGAAAAAACTGTGGGATCTATTTATAAATACAAAAAAATTACATTATTTTTTCTTTGGGATTTGTCAAGAAACGTCTCTAGTAGTATATGTAGTTGTTATTGTACCTTTATTATGTTTATTTATTTATTTATGGAAAGTAGGGACTAGTAGCCCAATTACAATAACTACGTATAACAGAAAACAATACGATATAACAACAGTATGACAAGATAAAAATATACTTTATTGATATACAATAATAATTATATTACGGAAAGTCCGAGGGGAAAAATAGTATGTGTTGTAAATTGCCTAAAAAAGTGGAGTTCCGAATTCATTGTGCCGTTGCGTGTTACGCGAAATGCTGTTTTCTGATCGACTTAATGTATTATGGTGTCACGGTAGATACACGTATGGAATGTGTTTCCCAAAACGTTTCCACTAGTAAAATATATTTACCTCATAATCGCGCCGGGTCCATATCAGTTATTTCATACTATTGATCACAACAAATTTAAATCATGTCACAACACCTATAATCTAAAACATTGAATTTCGCAGAGTCGTAAACTCCGCGTGTAGCTCGATACACGGGGTATAAGTACAGGATATTATTATAGTCGTTATAATAATGTTATCGTTGGCGTTTACACTTTATAATTATCAAATACGTAGATTTTAACGCGTGTGCTGTTTTTAATATTATATTGTTGTTGCCAGGTGGAAATACATGTGGTAAACATCCGCGGACCGTCTGTCGTGTCATTGACTGCTCATTCGTTTGCGGTCGTTCGCCGTCCGTCTGGTACCGTGACCCGCGGGAGCCAACTCCGTGCCACCAGTCGTCTAGCAGCGCACGTAGACACCGACCGTCACATGCTGACGATGTGATAAGCATCCGACTTCGGCGGTGGCTGTGCTCGTGGCGGCTTGCGAACACCAGCAGTGGTACAGGTGGTGCTAGCGGCACTGGTACCTTAAGAGACGGGGGCGGTGGCTGGGACGGTAGTAGTGGTGTCTGCCGTGTTTGCGTCGCGGTGATCGGCAACGACTCCGTCGGGCCGACGTCGGCGTCGTCGTTGCTGCAGACGCGGCTGCAGCCGCCGCCGCCGACGCCGCTCGTCGGCCAGCCGAACGGCACCGTCGGTCCAATCACCGTCGACGGCGTCAGCATCGGCAGTGGTGCCGACGGTGGTGACGGCGGCGCTTTCGACGACGGCTACTGGTGGTGGGCCCTGTTGGCGGTTTTCCTCGTGTTGGCCACCGCAGCCGGCAACATACTCGTCTGCCTAGCCATCACGTGGGAGCGACGCCTCCAAAATGTTACCAATTACTTTCTCATGTCGCTCGCAGTCACCGATCTCATGGTCGCCGTGCTCGTCATGCCCGTTGGTATACTCACACTCGTCAAAGGTACGTGTTCCGCTTTCAACGTATCGTCTAAAAATATCACCATTTTTTCGTACCATCATATCGATGTCACGTCGTGTTTAAAAGAATTTTAACGTATTATTGCGTTTCTCCTCATTTATGCCGAACAAGTCAGCTGTACGAATTCTTATTATTACCTTTTATATTCCGTTATATCCGCCATCAATATTCTCTACATACCTTCCTATCTCCTCTTACGCATACGCGGTGATTACTATTGTATTACTTGTCGAGTCATTTTATTATTATAATTATTATCTAGCATTCTAGCTGATAACCGTCTCGCATTTTAGCACAAACTAGGATATAAAATACTGGAAACGAGTTCATCGATGTAACAGTAAATTAGCGATTTGAACGTTATCTATGAGCCACACAAAGACACATTAATGTCATTGCAAACATGTCAATGTAAACTGTTAAGTAACAATTTTATATTTGATACAATATTCATTTTGTTTGTACACTTGTTCAGTAAGGAGTAAGATAAATTAAGTTATAATTAATTAGGCACATTCTGTTTTCTTTGAATAATTAATTATTTGTCGGTTTCATATTGGAAAATTATAATTTTTATTATTATACTCTGAAAATCTGTACAACCGTTCACAGAGCATTCCCTCCAGATATGCAATTAGGAAAATGTGAAGGGGTCTTTAGTACCCCCAAGTCTAAAATTAGCACCCCCGAAAGAACCCGATACGCTATTTCATAGTAAGGACTAAATATTTTATCCGCGTATATCATATTTGATGAGTACAAAAAAATATAGATTTCTTACTGGCAATGCATGTATGTATGAACAATAATGTTAAAATAGTTATACTGATATTAAAATAGTTAACCCTGTACCTACACACGAAATTGTAAATGAAACGTATAATTTGCCTAATGTAAGAGTCATGTTGTAAGGGGTATTGTGGGAGCATAGTCCCCATGAGTTTTCGATATTGTTTTTACATTTAGCACCCCCCCGAAGTTGGTGGTCTAATCGCGCCTATGAATTTCCCTCTCGATAATAAAAGAAAAGAGAAAAAACGTACCACGATCCACGAAGTAGATCGTGAAATGTAAGGAAGTATATTATATTATAAGATGTAAGTTGTCAACCGTGAGCATATAGATTTTACTACAACAAAGTAGCGATTGAAATCTGTATTATCTTTCTAAAGAAAACGCATTTGCACTTGAACCCCGGGCGTTAGTGCGTTACACTGTAGTTCCGCTCCCCTCCCCGAAATCCAACCCACCTGTCGTTTCCAGTACTATATACCTTAGTCGATGGCTTTAATACGCCTCTGGATTCAATGAGAACACACAAATGGCCCGACCCGCGGAATGGATAAAATACCTATTACTCCGTGACAATAATATTACCATTGTAATTATTCATAACGCGGTTTTTGGTTTTCCTTAATGTACGAACGCGCGTAAATCGCGGTAGCGCTTCACCTAAGTTTGTCGTGGTGATATTTATTACAAAATACCTAGATATGGTTTTGTTGGCAATCCAAAGGACGGGCGGTATTGTAAAAATACCCGTCGTAATTTACGCGATTATCGCGACCGATAAGGTTTTCATAACCTCGGTAACTCGGTGCTCGTTGGTGCGTTACAGTGTAAACCGGTAAATCACTGCGGTGGCAGTTTACCGTTTTTGTCGAACGCATTTTCGCCCTCAGCGTAGGTATAGGCGTAAGCGCCGAGTACCTACGACTAGCACAAAAAGCGTAACGAATCGTAAACAATTCCCCGCGAGAAGAAGTTCAACGAACAAAACAGTTGTAATTTTTTTCGGGGGTTTGTTTTGTTTTTTTTTTTTTTTTTTTTTTTTTGTTCGTAAATACTATCTGCTAGTCGTTTGGAGATCACGGCTCGATGGTCGCCATCACAGACACGCTTTACGTGCTTTCCACTGCGGCCGCGACCGGTAACCGTTGGTTTTTGAAAAGTTATTTTATAATATTATCAACTTTTAAACGTACCCCTCTCTCCCTATATATATAGCAAGTTCATTACTGTTTTTCCAGTTAAAATAATATAATTCCCGTAACTCGGTAAGTTTGTTTTTCCCCACTTTGGCTGCTTTCTGTATAATATGATATAGTTGAAAGCCGCGTTAGATTTTCACTCGATTAATATTATTATAATATTATTAAAATGCGGAATTAAATTTCGTTTTTCTTAAGCAAAACATTACGTATACCTATAAAACGTCTATTACGAAAACGAATTAATTATATCCTTTAAAATATTCGTATAGGTACATATTATATATATATATATATATGTGTGTGTATATATAGATGATACCTTTCTATATTAAAACAATCTAAAGTTTAATAAAATTTCACGTAAATTAAATTAATGCAAGTATATAAGTTTATTCTTACAAGAAGGCCACTTTCAAGTTATAAAATCTATTTTATTAAGTCGCTGTTAATTGTATATTAAAATAACCATTTATCAAGGTTGCGTTTAACACTCGTAATAATGTATTTCAGATTCTGAGTAGAGTAAATATTGAATTGGTTTTACAATGATATTTTTTTTTTTGTCTGTGGACAACTTTTCTGCCAGAAATTTTGCTCAAATTTTCAAATGTAGCACTTTTTCTGAATTTAAATTTTATCTGAGCGACACTCTTAGAAGGTCATTTTTTTTATTTTCCAAGTGTTTTTCATAATAATTGGGAAAAATTTACGATACTCATTTTTTTAAATTTTGTTTTTTGTTTTATTTCAGTTAAAAACATTTGTGGAGACCTATTGAAATATTGACAGAAAACTTATATTTGTCATTTATAAACGTGGTAAATTGTTCAAAACATTTTAACCATTTCGGAGCTATTTATAAACCTTATCATTTTGAAAGTTTTTTACTTATTTTTTTTCGGTGAGGACTTCATAAATAAAATTGTTAGACCAAACAGAAATGCCTGAAAATTTAACAGGAGGTTTAATATAAAGGTATGGTAATAAAGTTTTTAATTTATACTTAAAAAATAATTAATATAATATTGTTACTTCCATTACAATATTTCGCATTGAGATATTAAATTATCCCTTGTCAAAAACAATACAAATAATTCGGACATATTTCGTACGTGGATGAAGCCACTGTTGTAGTTGGAAAACTGAGAAGATGGGAATACAGAAAGTATGTCTAGTAGTCTAGTATGTCAGAATGTGTATCTGTAAGCAACGGTAAATCATTCCTAACGAAAAGACGACTTTGCGAGGAATTAATTGATAGCGATGCTTTCTTAGCAATGTATGTATCATATTATTGAGAAATAATTAAATATGCATCATATATTTGCTTTGATAATATTTGTTTAATATTGTTCCAACATTCTAATTTCTTCGGTTTTACCCGTTTGTTGAACTTTTGAGAAAATCAAAAAATTACCTTCTTAAAGTACGTTCCCAGTCAGATTTTCTTTTAGAAAAAGTGCTATCATTGTAAACTGGAGCAAAATTGTTGGAAAAAAATTTGTTCACAGGAAAAAAGAAGGCCATCATATTTTTAAGTAATACTTATATTTCTTATAACTTTATCAAATATTATATTTTAATAAAACGTTTTTCCTCAGTTTTTTTTTTTTGGTTTTTCAAATTTAATGAAAAATCATAAGAAAATCGAAAAATGACTTATCTAAAGTAGACTTAATAAAAGTATCTCCTCAAACCAATCTACTTTCAGAAATAGTGTTACACTTAAAAATCAGAGCAAGATTACTGGTATAAAAGTTGCGCACAGATAAAAAAAAAATAAATTAAATAAATGTTAGAGCTAAGATTAGAAGATTAGACTGGCAGTTTACCGATGGTCTAACATGAGGACAAATCTAGCGACAGTAGAATAATCATAAAAAGGATAGTTAATTTGAAGATCATATGATAAAAATATAAAATATTTGCGCTGAACTCTTTTAATTTTTCTAGAATCATTACTAGTGAAGGAATTTCCAATAATGAAGTCGAACAAAAGAGTAAAATATAGTTTTAAAGAAGGAATGGAAATTATATATAGAGAAAATTCGCTGGACAAACACAAGATTTTTTAGGAGCTTTACAGCACATCAATTTGATTTGTAACCTTGGATAAAGTGAGATATAAACTGAAAACCAAGATAACAAACTGTATCCAGAGATGTTAGTATGAGTTCGTTATTAATCATATAAATTGAGAGTATTTAAACTGACAGCGCAGTGTTATCCTTGCTAAACGAAAATTTGCTATGTTTTACAGTTGTATGACGGGGAGAAAGCATACGTGGCTATAACGTTCTTTTAATACGTACACACGTATAGATTTGGGCAGGTATATGAAATACGGGTGTTTTATTTTCGAAGAACTATCGAATTTTGAGTTTTCATAATATGATATATTAAACGCTATTCCACATTTTGTTTGAACAGAGTTTAACATTTTAATCATTTACGCTATATTTAGTTCTTGGTATATTATATACCATATATATATAAATATACATGTATTATACATCACGTCATCGTATTCCCGACAAAAGAGCTTCGAGACATCGAGTCCTACAACTAAAATATAATTTAATATATTATTGTTATTATTATTATTGTTTGCCTTTTGAACCTATTTACGAATTTATAATATTTGTTTATTTACATCAAAAATAATATTACAGTTATATTTATATTCATGTACAAGTTTACGGGCATAGCCTTTTTTAAGTACAATATACATAATAATTTTAAGATTTAAGACATTAAAGAAAAGAACAAAAGAAAACATACAGTAAAAGTTAGTAAGTAAGTAATGCAAGTTATGATTCTTTAAACAATTTACAAACGATATATATCATATACTCGTATATGATAATAATATTATTATTTTATACCGACTCAATTTAAGTAAAAACTTGTGGTGGAAGTAGGAAGAACACAGTTAATTTCCAAAGTTATTAATGGAAGAGCTAACTGTATCAGTAAAAATATTGAAGTAGAACTGTCTTAATTATTCTCGTAATCAGTATGTTAAATATGTTTAATCCCTTTTATGTATAAAAAATTTTAAATTAGTGTTTTATTAGGTT